CACACACACACACACACACACACACACACACACACACACACACACACTGGCATATCCTAACTTGTGAACATACACTCTTCATACAGGCACACAAAGGCATACACACCATCTTTAGGCTTTGTAGCTGATTCCATGTCTGTACTTACATTTCTAGTCTATAATTTTCTCTTTGTCATCCTGAAAAACACTGGTTCAGCAAAAATAATCTCTCTTCTTTACTTACTTTTCTGCTCTTTCTCCCTCCCTCTCCCTTTCTCTCCCTACCTCCATGACTTTAATGATGCCTTTCTCAGATCAAAAACAATCCATCCTATGTCCCAACCACTTCTAAGGCCCATTTTAAAATACAAAATAGTTATAAACCCCTTACTTCTGATCATCTACCTTTCTAAGGCAAAGTCTGCCCCATTTTATTTTCAATTATTGCCATTCTTAAAATACGCCTACCATCTTGAACCAAGTTGTTCAATGTGTACAGGTTTTATCCATGTTCCTACTCCCCTATCCCATCATAAAAATAGTTGTTGCCCATTAAATATAGTTTTCATATGAAGAAACATAACTGTGAAAGTGTTTCCCTAAACTGATCAGTCAACAGTAAAAGCAGACAAGGTCCTAAAGCTAATAACCCATTTGGTTTGGCTCTCTCCCCTACCATTCTCAACCTCCTACTGTAGAATTAGATTGTATCTGCAACATGAAGAGATACTGTCTTAAAAATACGGATTTTATACATGGTGACCATTAAGTGTTCCCAATTAAAAATGATTACATGTAAGAGACTGAATCATCACTGCCCCTCTTGGAGCAACTATGGAAAGAAACACCATTTGTTTTTATAGCTGCTGGCAAAAATGGAGTCAACCCAACACTTCTAATGCCTCAGTCGAGGAAGGAGTGGGAAGCTGGTGTGGAGGAACAGCCTGTGTGCTCTAGGCTGCCCCAGCCTGGGCCCTGTTTGTTGCCTTGGAATGACCACATCACTGTTTGCTCCTCATCACCACCCAACCAAGGCTGGCTTCAGTTCTGCCCACAGCAACTATGTTGACTCGTCTGTCATGTCTGTGTCCCTTTGGATCAGTTGTGGAATGGTCCAAAGCCAGGGGCTTCTTTGAGTCACAAAGAAATCCTTTCCTTTCTGACTTGGGTCTCAGATTTTGATGGGTGAACTTCCTGTTCACTTCGATTTATTTTGTTATTGTTTGTTTTGTTTTTAATCATAATGTATTGCAGCTTCTGGTCTACATGAGGATTGTTGAGCTTGTATGCACTTTAATAAATAGTCCATTAAAATGCTTCTGACTTGATCATTTCTTTGTTTCTTTGCTGAAACTCCTTTAGCAAAGGAGTTTCCTGGGCTGAAGGAAGTTTACTCATTGTCCTCCTCCTCCTGGTTGGCATAAATCCCTGCCTCCCAGCGCAAGGCCAGAGCACTCTTTCTCCGATTAACCCGTGTGGCCTCCAGGACCTGAAAAGAGAGGGGGGAAAATTAACACAGAGTTCACATGACACAGCTTCCTCCTTTCTTGCCTTCATTCCATTTCCTCACTCAACAAGACACAGGATCTGGTACTGCTTGGGTAGGTGACAAGCAGCAGAGAGTGGACAAAGGTAGGGAAGTGACTTCATTTCAAAGCCCAAATCCGCTTACTACCTGACCCATGGTTTCCATTATTATTATTATTATTATTATTATTATTATTATTATTATTATTAT